GGTGACGATGGGTTGGTTGCGTTGTACGGGGAGCATGAGCGAGAAAACTGCAAAACCCGAAACGAAACGAAAATTATGCATGAAAACTGGCATAAAAGTTGAGTCTACGTGTTTGTTATTGCTGGCTGGTTTCTCTCTCTATATGCAGCAACAAACATGCCCCAAACACGCACGCACACACACATGCACACACACCAGCATAGGCATGGACTGATTGCATTCTGTGTGTGTTTGTCTGTGTGTTCTGCATTTGTGTGAGTAATGTACATACATTCCATACATATATGGAAAATGCAGCCGCAACGACAAAACACAATGCAAATGGCGGAAAGGCCGATTGCATGCCGAGGAGGCACAGTGGGCCCCAATCAGTGATAATTCTACATAACCAGCATTGCTCCCCCATTGATGTTCATACAAAAAAATGCGTGTTGCTGCTTCAAAAAGGTAAACTTGTCCATGGTAAATGATAAAGGATGAATGCAATACAACGAATAGAATTCAAGTCACATCAACAGGCTCCTTAGAAATATAAAAGAAAAAAAAGACATCAAAAGGGCAAGGCCTCTTCCGCATGGTACCCACACACAGTGGATCAAAACAGCTGAGCCATTATAAAAATATTCCAGCAATGTCCAGCCCCTTAATTGAACTTTATGAAAATTGCCTTAAACTTGGCAAACACAAAAATTGTCCCTCAAAATGCACTTGAATGCCGAATGATTTCCATAATTGACGCTAATCATTTTTGCGCCACTGTGCGGCAATATCGCTGTGCCCCGCATAGGCGCAGTATAGACGTCGCGTTGAGGCAGGCAGGCAGGCAGCAGCAGCAGCAACAACAATCAGACATTGATGATGGGGCGAGCCCATATAATCAAAAGCAAGAGACTCAGATTCAGAGTCAGGGCTTAGTGGCTGGGCGGTGGCAATCAGTCGGCCAGTCAGTCAGTCAGTCTGTCCAAGTCCATCAAGCTATGTATGTATGTGTGTATATGGTTGGTGGAAAACCGATTCGTTGTGAGAGGGGAGGGTGTGTGGGGGACATTGGCTAATGAGTTGACCTGTCAAGTTCATGCAAAATGCACTTCAAGCGAGTTGAATGCATTGCATTCAATTGAAATTGCATTGAAGGAGGCATTCCAATAGGCCAGATTATGATACAGCCCCAGGTCGCTCATCCCCTACAAAACCATTCGAGATTCAACCAGAATTGAGGAAGAAACTACAAGCACAAATTGTAGCAAAATAAGAGACCTTCAACCAATACTCGAAGATTGTGGAGGTAGATGTGTACACTGTATTCTTATCATACCGAAAACCTTAAGACTTTGTTTGTTTTTTGTGTCGATATTTGTCAGATGCTTGTGTGGGATATATCCCCTTGTGCTCATGGTTATATCTGATATCTTTCTGATATTAAGTGCTTTATGATTAAGTCATCCAATCCCTCTCCTCTTCACTTATTGATTGCTTGTCACGATTACGAGGCTACAAGTCTACAAGTTTTGCGCCAAATTTAAATATATTTTGGCTTAAAACTCACAAAGAAGCACTTGCTGTTGTGCATATCGTTTGACAGACACAAAAAATCGCAAAAAAAAAGGGTTTAAATTTGGGTTTTGTTTTCATTTACTGGCTTGAGCAGGATTTGCAGGGTTTCCGTCCCCATTTGGAGAATACTTTTTGGCTTCAGCAATTTCAATTTTTCGTTTTCCGCTTGTGCTTGAAGGTACGAGAGGTGCTGAAGGAGAGTTAGTGAGAAGAGAGAGGGGTTGTGGCGTAGTTCCGTCCAGTGCTGCACTTAACAGCCGGTGCCAAAAAGGGTTAAAGGCTCGACACTTCACTCTACTTCGCTCCACTAGACAGCAGAAGCCTCCAGGGTTGTCAGAGTGTTTGGTTACTCTTGCTTTCTGTTTGTTCCCATTTCATAAATATTTCAGTGGGTGGGAGTGGGACTCATCTTTCTCTGCAAATAACCCCATTATTTCATTTTCATTTTCAGTTCTCTGGTCGCAGGAAACCTGTAAACAAGAAACACTCAAACTGAAGACGACTTGACGGCTCTCACTTGCTTTTTGTTTTCATTTTGCTTCCCCGATTTGTGTTTACCCCACCGGTTCTATGCGGCTGGGTAAGTCAGTAAGTCTCTAAATACGAAAGGGTTAAATTTATAAAAATATTATTAATTATTACCATATTTTTGAAAGTTTTATAGATTTCTAAATATTTGCAAGAGATTTTGTGGAAGGTGATATTGTAGAGAACAATAATAAAGAAAACTTTGCATCAACAGTTGAAAAAATACTGAACAAAATGTTGCTTTGGGTTGGGAAATTTAGTTAATTGATATTGTTAGTCCGACTTTGTGGAAGAATCGATCCTTATAGATAGAGAGGCAAATAAATCGCTATGGCTCCCTGAAATTTGTGGTGTTTGTGGTGCTCCGAAATTCTCGCTCTCCATTCTTTTTTAGGGTATTTATAAGCATTGCCCTTGCACTTTTTGTTTTTCGTTTTGCTTTTTTACGCCCAATCAAAATTCCATGGAAAGCCAGAAGTTTGAAACACTTGCACATGTGCTATTATAAATTTTTTGTGGGATTTGTTGTTGCGTTGCACTGCATTTGTCGGGTTTTTTCGAGCTTATCGAGACTGCAAATAAACAAGTCTGAAGGGAATGAAGGGGCTGAATTACTCATACGCCCTGTTATGCAGCTGCCGCCTGTTCACTTTTTGTTTTTTTTTTTTTGGACTCTATATACTCTTAGTGGCTCATGGTATGCGAACTGAAATTCGTATTTCATTTTTATTTTATTTTTTTTTGGTCTGTTTTTTTTCCGTTGTGTAAATCGATACGAGAACGTGTAAGGCGGAGCGGATAATTAAGAAATGTCCACATAAATATTGGGAATGTCGACGGCTCTCATTACCCATTGAATCGGTAGAGATTGCATATTCTATAATATAATGGTAAGCGATTTTAGAATTGGGTTCTTCAATTCGAAAACAAATATTCGCCCTTGGGTGAACACATCTCCATTTTTATTACAAATTTGTTACTTGTAAATATTAAAAAACAAAAATATTAAATAAATATTCATGAATATTTATGTCTAATGGCTTGGGATCTGGCCGAAACCCAATCCGAATTCGAACATGAAGCTAGAAACCAAAGGGAACCGTAAATATGTCATCCAAAAATAGGTTTACAAATTATGGCAGCAACATTGAAGGGGGGTTCAGAACATTCAGCTGTAGCCTTAGTTATTCCAATTAGCCCTCAAATTGCTGGCAAATGCTAATAAATAGCTTTCATAATGCAATTTCTAATTGCAATGTCATATGGTTCCAGCCCCCACGGCTGTAATGGCTTCCCCCCTGCCCCTTCACCGCCCTTCGTCGTGCAACCCTTGGGAGCCAGGATACAGCAGACGCGCTCGCTCTCTTTTTGTGGGTACTCTCTCTCTCTCAGCCGCTCTTTTGGGTGATGTTCAACATGTTGCGGCAACAAATTGTTGCACAGTCGGGTGGTCACACCGGTGCTGAGTTGACGCCGGTTTCTGAGCTGCGTTCCAAAAATAAGCTCTCTCATTTCCTGAAATGCTTTCTCTTTCCCTCTCTTGCTAGTACCTCCCTGTCCTGCTCCTTCCGCAGATAAGCGCTGCTCTCATGAAGCTCCCATGGACAACTCTCTTTGTGGCATTTTGGCTCTCTCGCTCTTTGCTTTGCCAATGGCGTCCATCCAGTCCGTTCCATGCCTTATTTTATTATCATATGAGGATCGTAAGAAATTCTACTTTGGCTCTAAGTCCCAATCGAAATTTTTTCAGCTGTCTTTTGGTTCTCCGACTAACCATTTTTGCTACAGTTAGTTCTTCGCTCTCTCTTTCTCTCTTCTCGCTGGCTCTCCTTTTGCTTCCTGCCTCTCCTCGCTGGCATAACCATTCTCGCACCTGCGCTGTATTTTTGCGACGCATTTTCCTTTTGCTGACTGCTGCTGTTCTTCTCTCACCCGGTTTTCAGCTAGCTACCAAAGCCGCTCTCTCATTCTCGCTCTTTGTCTCTGTTTTACTTTGTCGCCCACGCCACTTTCCTTCTTGTTTGTGTTGATTCTTGTTTGGGGTTTGATGTTTGTGTGTTTATATCGAACTACAATTACAGTTGGGAGTCCTCTCTCTCTCTCTCTCTCTCTCTCTCTCTTTACAGCATTTACTGCATGTCTGTGATTGTTGTTGGCATGCTTTTTGCTTGATTTCCGCTTTGCATGCCGTCATGCACTTTGAACTTTTTTGCCCTTCTCCTTTTGTGAGATTCTCCCGCTTACAACGCACCTGACCCCCCCCCCTCCTACCCTTCCATCCCACCTCCTGCTACGACTTGTGCTCTTCGTCTTCTGCTTGAATGTTTGTTGCTTTTGGATTTCTGCTTTACTTATTACATGTTTTCGACTGGCTCTCGCTTCAGACACGCGGCCAGAGAGTAAACAAGTTTTAGGACTTTCTTGTCCTAGTCCACGTTCCTCACATACAACTTCCCAGCCAGCGTAATCGAATATTTTCTGTTGATTTTGGTGCAATATGTGCATATGTATGTACATAAATATATGCATACACATGTATGTGTGTATGTATAATAGTTGTGACGCGTACAAAGCGTCTCACTCGTTCCTCCTCGTCTGTCATGGTAAAATGATTGGTATTCATTTTCCAACCTCTTCTATTGTAATCGAGTAATCGAAATTAATATTATCTTTGGTTGTTTCCGGTAGATATGCATACATAAAATATATTTAAGCTTTAAAACAATTATAACAATTAACAAAATATAAGCAAAACAAAAACAATAACAATCCGTTTTAACCGCTCCTACTGACATTCAGTCAGCTTCATCTTGTCGATATCTTTGCGCCGCAGGGATTCCGGTCCCCCACTAGTTGCATCTGCGCTTGGGTTTGCGGGTGGTGGGGCAGGGCTTTGGTGTTTGGAGGCAGGGCAGTTTGATGGGCAACCAACAGGGTTTTGGGGTGGGGATGCATTTTTGCGGCTTCTTTGTGGTCGTCCTTCTGTGGATGGTTTTGCGTCTTTTTATGGTTTTGGATTTTTTGGTGGTTTTGCATTTTTTGGTGCTTCTGATTTTTTTCGTGGTAGTTCTGCATTTTTTAGTTGTTGGGCATTTTCTAGTGGTGGTGCAACGTGTGGTGGCAGGCGCACAGGTAGATGTAGTAGTGGTGCAGGCTGTAGTGGTTGTAGTGGTACAGGGTCTAGTGGTCGTGGTGGGAGGCTTTGTGGTCGTGACACATTCTGTGGTGGTGGTGCAGAGTGTGGTGGTCGGCGCACAGGTAGATGTCGTCTCCGTGCAACCACACGGTGGCTTCGTAGTGGTGCAGGCCGTAGTAGTTGTAGTGGTGCAGGGTCTAGTGGTCGTGGTGGGAGGCTTTGTGGTCGTGACACATTCTGTGGTGGTGGTGCAGAGTGTGGTGGTCGGCGCACAGGTAGATGTCGTCTCCGTGCAACCACACGGTGGCTTCGTAGTGGGGCAGGCTGTAGTGGTGCAGGCTGTAGTGGTACAGGGTCTAGTGGTCGTGGTGGGAGGCTTTGTCGTCGTGACACATTCTGTGGTCGTCGGCGCACAGGTGGGTGTCGTATCCGTGCAACCACACTCTGGGGGTGTTTCCGTACAGGCTTCAGTGGTCGTGGTTGTGGTTCTCCTGATAATACGAGCCGAGGCGACGTTCGCACACTTTATAATCAGTAAGTTCGCTGCAAATTAAGAAATGGCAAATGATTACGGTGCTTAGGTGAACGGCCTTTCGGTGGTGCCACCAATTACCAATTAGTATTCCAACGAAGAACTTCATGTTGGTCCTTGCTGCTGGGAACAAGTCCAGTTACTGAAACGACGGAGCCTGCAAAAGTGGTTGGGACTTCGCTGGGTGGTGCGAAGCCATTAACTGATGCCTTCTTCGATGGTCCCGTCGCCTTTATATATCCAAGACCTTACACGTGTCCTGGCCTGGTTTATGCAAACACAGCCCCCACCACAGACACCACAAACTTGGAAGGTAGTTGCACCCAAAAAAAAAAAAGAAACAAATAACCCACCGCATCCCATACGATCCGATACGATCCGATCCGCCTGTGGATTAATTATAGCCACTGTCTGGCCCTTGGAGTTTGTTGAAGTTCAAGGTGAAGCGTGTTGTACATATGTACATATGTTTGTATGCATATGTACATACATAGTATGTACATTATGTATAACACTTCAGATTCGGCAAATAGCTACATTTTTGTATGTAATATCCAATATATGACACTCCCATGAGCTCCCATGAGGGCTATTCCGATTAGATTACCTAATTGAATAAGGTTTTACGGGGTTGTCAGGTACCTTCATGTACAATCCGTGAATTAGACCGAAATATCGTACGAGGTTTTGCAATTGCCAGACAACCCCATCCGATAGATTGTTTGAATTTCGATTCGTCTATGTGGCGGATGCAGTTATTTAAAATTGTAAATTTTGACCTAGAAACGCGAAACAACGGTAGCACCGTGGTGTCTGGGGGAAGCGGAGTGGGGCAAATACCATAGAAAGATAGAGAGAGACAAAAAAAAAAAAGAAAAACAAAAATAAGTCCAATGAACCCTGCGACGATAGCTACATTGTTGCTGGCACTCTCCACTCGACCACCTTCTCAGCCGCCCACTACCGTTACTTTTACCCTCCCTCTGAGCAATCTTCGGTGTCCCTTTTCGTACCTCCTTCATTTAGAAGAACCTCAATCCCTCATTCTCTAAAACGTATAGCAAAATGGAATGCAAGAGAGGAATTATGAAAACAAACATTTTTCTGCGGCTCAGCAGCTTCTGCATCTCTTACTCCACTTATTCTCTCTCACCCTTCACACTCCACTCTCTCTCTGTCTTTCTTTCGTACTGTCTCTCTATTTTGCTTCATGGGAGCAGCACGCTGCAAAGTTTTGCCCAGGGCCGAAGCATCACTGCTACCGCTGCCGCTGTCAACGCTGGCCGCGCTGCCGCTGCAGCGAGTCCATGCATGTCCAAACAAGTTCCGTTCCACACAAATGCCAGCACGTTTCGAAATTGCCGCTGCCGCAACGCATACACTGAAGTCGACGTCGACGCATCATAACAATAACAAAAGCCAGTGGGAGAGGAGGGAAGAGTACAGAGGCAGGCCAGAAATGCAAGAGCAAGCAAAACATTTTGGAGGCAAGGTACATTGAATAGAAGGTACCACTTCCTGCATTAATATCTACTCTTCCCTCAGAGCTCCTCATCCCTGAATTAATACACCTTTCGTGAATCACACGCAAAAACAGTGCATAGACAGCATCAAGTAACAACAACTTACAGCGGAAAAGAACGCTCGGCTCAGGCTAAAGAGAGTGAGTGTGAGAAAGAGAGTGAGTGGTGAGCTTGGTTCGCTTTGGATGGGGTGGGTGAGTGCGGAGGAAGAGAGGAAGCAGTAAAGCTGATGTGTAATGAAACAATGACGCAGCAGAACCATCATCACCAGCATAAGAACCAGAAACAACAGCAAAAGAGAGAGATAGAGACACAGCATCTTAGGGAAGCTAACCAAGATGAATGTCGGTTTTTAGGGTGGTCCTCAAACCTCTATCCTTCAATGAATGAGATTATTAAAATCTATTATATCCCAACACACACACAAAAACACTTGTAACAATTCCAAATACCAATACCATGGTGGTGTTATCTATCATGATTACCGCTCCTGTAATCCACCGGGCTAATAGAATCGTGGAGAGCAGCTTGCTGGAATGACCCTTTATGTAATTGAATTGAAAGCAATAATTCGCACTGGAATTGCTAGGGCCGCACAAAAGAGATTTATTCAAGTTCTAGCTAATCAGCACCTCCCACACACACAAACATGCATCCAAATGCACCACCGCATCAGTATACTGTAGTTGCTCTTGAGTGGACCTCATCGAAAGAAAAGAAACTGCAATGGGTATACCCCTGTCCATGAAGAAACTATAAGGAGGCCTCGTCGGTGGCAGAGTTACTCACTGGTTCTGCCCTAGGTTCAGTGCACGTTTGCTTGTCGACGCGGAAGGTTGGTTGCGTACGAATGTTTTCTTCATGATCAGCACACTCCACTGTCGTTGCCCTCACACTTGCAGCGAGAGCCTCTCACTCGCACTTTTCACTCGCACGTTCTGCTTCGTTTTTCCGACGAGACCTCCTTATAGTTTCTTCATGCCCCTGTCTGTCTTCACTGCACTTATTGATGGTCCGCCCTAATGTTCTTTGGCTCTGTCCCATACAATTACACAGCGTTGGCTGCTTGTTTGCTGCTGGTGCTGCCTCTGCCCCCGCTCGCAGTTACTACCCATTGCTGTTGTTCTTCCTGTTTCGCTATGCACAAGCGCAAGAGGAAAAGCAACAAACAGAGACGTACACATACACATTCATACATCCATACATACAAGCCAGCACGCAACGCGTCACGTGCGCTCTTTCCAAGGTATGTTTTAAATAATAGGTAAGGTGGTAGCCTCGTTCCTATTCCAGATCGCTTGTGGTATGCTCCCGCAAATTACTGTATTCTTCGGATTACTTGAATCGCCCAAGTTGTAGTAAAAAGAAACAAATATGGGCTGCTCTGCGTACAGATGCCTAACCTTCAATTTAATTTACCCTGGCTCTCCCAGTTCACATTCTCTGTCTGTCTCTCCCTCTCTCTGTCATACGTTCACTGCACTGTGTGTGCGCCTTTGTTGTTTTTGCGAATGCTGCTGCTGCTGCTGCCACTGGCCTGCGTCGACGACGACAGCAGCAGCAGCAGCAGCGCAGCCAAAGTTAAAGCCATTCCCGAGCTGCGGCAGCATTTAGTTTGCTTCTGTCATTGCATTTGTGCGGGTAACAAAAAACAAGCAAAAGAACGAAAGATGAAGCATTAGAAACATACATAAAACACCAGAAAGAACGAATAAATATAGCCAAACAACAAGAAAAAGCTCATATGCGGAATATAATCAACAGAAAGGACCCCATCAACGCGGACACAGATACAGAAACAACAAAAAGAAATAACCATAAGAAAACAATAACAAAATCAGAAGAAAATAATCTTTACCAAGAACAACAGAATCGACAGAAACCTTGTTCGTTTTTGCATTGACATTTAGTTTTTTTTTTGGTTTTGATATATTTTTTTTAATATCAGTGTGCAAATGAGAGAAGAACAACTACCAAAGCAGTTCTAACAACAAAAGTTCTTCAACAATTCTAACGGTAAATAACATAAAAAGACCCAAAAAACAGTTCCAAAGTGCGAAAAGTTAAGCATTGTGTGTGTTTTTGTGCGTGGCTTTTCTCTCCCTTTTTTCTTTGATTTAGCATTTTGCTGGTCTGCAAGAGAGAGAGTGGGTGAGAGAGAAAGAGGGAGAGAAAGACCAGTTGGTCAGCTTTATTGCTTGATGTTTTTGGGCTTTTGTTTTTAGCATGTGCCCTTTTTATACGTTGCAGAGGGTGGTGTGAGAGGTTTGCTGTGTTGTGGCGGGGTGGGGTGCGGTTCTCTCTCAACCATCTGCTGTCAGCACACACAAATACAAAAACTCTCGCAAGCACAGCACTTATAGTGGAGCGCGTGCTTTTTTCTGCGGTCTCTCTGTCTACGCTTTTTCGCCTGCACACACACACACGCGGAGACAGACACCCGCAGGCTGCGTTCTCTTTAAAGTTCTCTCTCTCTCCCACTCTTTCGCTGGTTCTCCCAAGGCTTACGTGCTGCAAGGTGAGGCAGTAAATACGCTCTTTAAGTTTGGAACTCTCTCACCTACACTCACACACACACAGACACACATATATAAAGTTACTGTATCTCATAGAGCGACTCTCTTGGTTTATTACACCTTGGCTTTGTATCTTTTTTTGTACGGCACTCTTCGCTGCCGTTGCCGCTTTTCTACTCTACTGCCAGCCGCATTGGCAGCTTGTCAACGCTTTCATTTGACGTTGTTTAGCCGTACCGTGCGCGTCGTCGTCCACTGTCGTCGTCGCCGTCGCTGTCGCTGTCGCCGTTTGTCGTTTCGTCGCAGACGACGTCACAGTCTAAAAAGTTGCGTCAGTTTAGCCAAAACACTCAAACTAAAACAAAACAAAAAAACAACAAACACATTAAAAGACTAACTTTTGCGGGATTATTTTTTTACAAGTGCTTGAAAAATACTTTTAACAAAAAGTAGGTGAAAAATGTATATGATATTGTTATACAAATGTAATGCAAATAAAAATGTACCCTGTTCCAAAAAGGAAACCAAAAAAATAACTAGATCTGGGAAAAATTCAAATAAAAATGCAATTGAATAATACGATTTCCAGCCATCGGCGGCTTTCGGTGTTATTTTACTCCATCCAATGATTTCCTCTCTTTGCCATCCGTTTACTCTCTTAATCTCCCTACCTCTCTCTCTTATTTTGTGTGCGTTAGCTTTTCTAGTTTTCCTTCATATTAGTTGAAATAAATTTCAAAAGTTTCAAACAAAATACAAAATCCCTAGAATTTTGTTTGATTAAAAAATTAAGACAGAATAGATACTGCCAAACAGATTCACACATATACGTATGTAGTTACATTTGTATGCGTGTACATGAGAGATTTTTCCTCTTTAGTTTTTGGCTATTTTTATACGAAATTTTATTTTTTTGCACGCTCCATCACTCTTCATTTCGAAATTAGCAACAATAACACGGAACGGTGGGAGAAAGAAATGCAAAAGAAAGTGCGTGCTGTGTGCTGTCTGACAGGGAAATAGAGAGTCAGCTGAAGCTCTCTCTCTCTCTTTCTCTCTCTCTCTCTCTCCTGGGGAAGCTTACACAACAAAACAAAAAAAAAACATAATCTGTCGTTTTTGCATTGCTTTCGGTTGAATTTTTTGTTGTGCTTTCTGCTTTCCCCTTTATTTCCCTCTTTTCTTTCATTGCTGATTTGCTTCCTTTTTTTCTCGTTTCTTTTTGTTCCTTCATATTGTCGTTTCTCTTGTGTTTCTTTTTACGCTGCTTCCTTCGAAAATTCACTTTCTTCTCGGAAATGTTTTGAGACGAGAGCTTTTATTTGTTAGTTTTTCTCAAGTGCATTTTGTGGATTTAAAGATTAGTTTTCTGAATACTTTACCAAAAAAACGAAAAGTGAGCGCCATTGCAGTCTTGTTCGAATGATCCTTCAGAGGCTTCGAAACGATGGAGCTTTTCATACATTTCTACCTGTATTCTCCTTAAATGTTCACAAATAAAGATTAAATTTCTGAGGACAGATCTCTTATCTCTTGTGATCTGGTCGTCTGATGTGCTCAAGGAAGTTTCTCATATTTCAATGCCACCTCTCTCGCTTTCGCATTCTCTCTTCCTCGGGTTTCTCTAGTCAACCGCAAAATGTCCCCTCAATTTGTGTCTCATAATTTTTAGGGACTTCTGATAATTCCTTTCTGGGCTTTATTTCAATTTTTGTTTCCCTATTTTAACATTTACCGTTTTGAGCTACTCCCCTGATAGTTTTCTCTTTCTTTTTTGACTTTTGAATTCTCATTTCGGATGCAGTTTATATGATTATTAGGATTGTGTGTGTGTGTGTGTGTCTTGAGGCCCAGCAAGCCAGCCAGTCAGTCAGCCAACGCCATCACCATCCCTGTTCATGTTCTTGTCCTGTCCTGGTCTCCTCCGCCCCACCTTTCTCTTTTACATATTTTTCTTTCACACGCTGATTCCGACGATTCCTTCAATTCAACGTGTATACGTATAAGAAAGCCTGACAATGGGCCATAAAGTATTTCAGAAATATACTTTGTATGCCGAAAAGGGCGACCCTTAACCTCGGGGTTGATTTCACTCCCCCCTGCCCTGTCCAGCCCCTGGTTCGTGCTGTTCTTGTTCTTGGGGTCGATTTCGGGCTTACTCTTCAGGTACTAGAAAAAAAGTCCTTGGGTTCAGTTCGGTTCCGAGGAGATGCACTCCATCTTTCTCCCTCCTTCAGATAGGTAAATTAACGTTTCACAGGAATTAAAGTTATTCTCGGTTACTCATTGACGTGTTGGTTGGGGGTGAGGCAAATTATTGCAAATTGTTGTTCTTCTGATCCGCTTAAAGCGATTTTTCATTTGCATATTTAATAGAATTTTGCCACGCGCCTCAGTAGGGCAGTCCCCCCGTAGCTCTGTTTCTCTTTCTCAATGAGCATATCACCCTGTTATACATGTAAATATGTGCAGGAGGATGTAGACTTGTAGGCGGTGGGTGGGTGTCGAACATTTAATGTCAAGGCAGCAGCCCCCAAGGAGCATCCCATATCACCCACTCGACAGACGATAAAAAAAGCTTCTCGAAGCTCTTTCTCTCCCTTTACGTCGCTCGCTCGTTCTCTGCTAAAGTAACTGCTGTAATGGGTCTCTTAAGAGAGCGTCTGGCAAGAAAATACGCCGGCTGCAATGGCACAGCAGTAACACCCTCTTTGCCTATTTTTCTCTCTCTTTTTCACTCCACGCAGTCCTTCGAAAACAAACGGGATGCGACCCTTGACCTTTTGTATGAATTATGACAGAAATAAAACAACAACAATGCATTTCGCCCCTCAGTTGAATGCCCCACACACATACACATACAGCCAACAGGACAGCTGACATGGAAAATTTTTGCGTCGACTGCGCGCACGCGCCAATGCTCCCTTTTCTCTTCCACATTTTCCATTGATTAGACGACAACCAAAGCGACGGCCACAGCACTGCGCGGCTGTAACTTGTTGTGTTGGTGTGGGACTTCGACTTCGCCCTCCTATTCCACTCTCATTCTTTTGCTTTTTGTTGCCGCCACGCAGCTGTGCACAATTAGCGCAAACGCAACAGCTGCTCGCGGCTGCATTTTACAGTTCCTCTGCTTTAGCTGGTGCAGGCGACAAATGTGTCTGAGATGATTTTGAGATGGTACCCGTTACCCAATAAATTGATGTACATACACATGTATGTATGTAACTTTCGAACGGGATATAAAAACTTAATTTGTCCAGGCGACAAATGTGTCTAGTTAGTTAACATTTTACGGTATTTGCGTCGATTCGATTTGCTTAAGGTGGTGCCAACAGACGACTAAGGCTTTAAAGATAAGAAGCATCAACTCAAGCTTTTGTCGCCTTTTGCGCTCTCTCTTTGTTCTGTGACCTCTCTCTCTCTCTCTCGGCATTGTTTGTAAATAAGTTAACTAAAATATCAACTAAGAAACAAATGTTTTTTCTTTGCTCATTACAGCCCAAACAGCAACCACAGCCACACAGCAACAACGTTAAACCACAAATTTATTATTGCAACAACAAAAACAAAAGGAAGAAAAACTGCAACCCACACAAGCAAAAAAGCAACCAACAACAACAGTAACCACCGAAGCCGAACCACAACTGAAAATTGCAGCAACTACAGCTACAGCTCAGCTGTCTTTCGCTCTCTTTAAACAACATACAACTGTAAACGTGTCGTTATCGCGACTTTAAGCTGTGCCTGGCTGTGCCTCTCTCGATCGCTCGCTAAACTAAATTGCTCTGTGTGTGCGTCGTAATCGTCATCGCGTTGTGTTGCGTGCGTGCGTGTTCCTGTGTGAGTGTGCATCTTCGTGTGTGCGTGTGTGTGTATCACCAAAGTGAAGGTGTGCGTGGCGCTTGGGTGTGTGAGAGTACGAGTAAGAGTACGAGAGTGCGTTTTGAGACGCGTCGTCGGCTATGTCAAGGGGCATAGATGCGCTAATAAAAGCGGTGCTCTACCTTGAGCAGAATGAGAAGCCCACGCAGACGGGAGGAGGTGGAGGTGCTGCTGGAATAGGCTTAGTGCCACAGCCGATACCGGTGCACTGCATCAATGGGAATGTCGGTTATCGGAGCAGCAAGAGCATCGGTATTCCCACTAACAACAACAGCGCGAGTCAGCACAATAGAAATACTACGGGGAGTAACGGCATCATTGGCAGCATTGCCACAGCAGCAGCAGCAGCATCATCGTCATCATCGTTGTCGGGTTCCGTGTATGCAAACGGAAATAGTAACGGTAACGGCCACCACACCAGCAGCAGCAGTAGCTGTGGCAGCAACAGCAACAGTCCACGCAGTCAATTGGTGGCCGGAGCTCGAGCTGGCCATGATTACGAGTACGTTGGCAGCGTCAGCGTCGTTGCACCCCCCGCCACTGCAGCCCATGGACAATTGGAGGCGTCATCGCTGCGCCACAGCGAAGGTCGCAGCATTATCTCGGGTAAGTTTTAACGCGCTCTCTCTCTCTTACTCTCTCTTGATGTACATATGTATGTACGTATGTAACTGTCCCAACCTGATTGTTATCGTCATCATAACTCGCATCATCATCATCATCCAAAATAATCTAAGGGGAATCTATGAGAATACTCCACCAGCTTTTACCTATCCCCTTCAAAATATTTCCTCCCCCTGCTCTTCCTACGAATCTGCCCGCTGCAGCAATCTCTCGTCTGACTCCCCCATACATTACCCTTTACTCTACCTCCCACAAACGAAACTGTTGATGTTGCTCTACTGCTCTCTCTCTCTCTCTCTCTCTCTGTCGACTCTGCCAGCTCTCTTTTTTCGCTGCATTTAAACTTGTTTTGACCTTGTTTTGCGTCGTCGCTGGCGTCTTCTCTTGTCCGCCCTGCACTTTGCGTGGGCGCGCACTGTACCCCAAAAGGCAGCTCTTTCTCACTCACACACTCACTCGCAGGTTGCAAGCGTGGCAGCAGCAGCAGACGCAGCAGGTACTGTTATATTTTTAGCGCGCGATGTTTGCTAAGCGGCCAACGTTAGTCGCGGCAGCGTTGGCGTCAGCGTCAGCTGCGCAGTCAAATTGGCATGTGCTAAATTGTCTTGATGGTGCTGCTGCTGTTGCGATCGCTGCGCTGTTGCCTTGACAAAGATAAGAGGGAGGTTGTGGGGGGTGCAGCAGCGTCAAAAAATATATGCATACATACATATACAAATCTACATTTGTATGCATGTACATATTTTTTGTTGTTGTTTTTCGCTTCGCTTTTTTTCATTTGCCTTTTGCTGTGCTCATTTGGTTTTTTTCGTTTGGTCTCTTCTTCTCGTTTCTATTTTGTCATGCGCTTTTGCCTGTTTTCGTATTTTTTTCGCACGTACGCTTTGTACTTGTTGCTGTTGTTGTTGTTTGGGGTCACGTCATGGCTCGCATCGTTCGCCTCTCTCTCTCTCTCTCTCATTGACAAATTAGTCATACTAGCCCCAAACTAATGACAGCTCATAACAAAAGAGATATAGTGAGTACGCGAGAGAGGGAGAGAGAGAAGAGCGGCAAAGTGTTTATGCAAGCGAAGGAGCAGCCCACGTGAGCGTTGGCATGCTCTTGCTACCTCCCCCCCCTCTTCACATTCTTTCTCTCACACTCTCGCTCGCTGACTGTATTGAGTTGTGTCTTTGCAAACAAACAACATGCTAAACTCTCTCACTCTCTCTTCTTTATGCTGTGTCTATCTCTCTCTCATTTGCTGGAGCTCTCTTTTTCTTATTTTGATTCCGAGCTCTTCTCTCTTTGGGCTCCTCTCTCTTACTCTCTTGCGTTGGTGGTGTAAAGCAAAGTCAATGAACTTTGTACGCATTTATGTTTTGGTATTGCTTTTTCGTGCCCATTTCATGTTATTACTTTTTTTGCCTTTCTTTTATGTTTTTTTTAATGTATTTTTTGTTTGTTTTCTTCACACTTACAAATTTGTTGGTTGTTGCGTATGCTTTTCTTGCATGTAATATTTGGACAGCCGTCTTTTTTTCTTTAACCACCTCCCACCACCTCTCGAGTCCCTCTGCGCCCTTTCTCTTCCCTTGATTCCTATTCTGTTTTGTTTTTGATGCTGCTGTGGCTTTTGAACCACTGCATTTTCCTGGTTTTTGTATTTGCTCTTTATTTAGCTGTACGTGTGTTTTTGTTGCTTTTGTTTCGACATCAGCTGGAGCTTCGAAAAAACCATTTGTGGGTGTGTTGGGGGTGCGGTGCTTTGGAGATGTGTAAGACTGGGTGCAGGAGAAATGCAAGATTATGCAAGCAGAATTAATCTAGGGGGGGGGGGGAAGGGTATGGCTCTGGCCTGTCAAATTTAACTGGAAATGTCTATTTTTAAACGTGATTCTTGCGCTCGTGCAGAAATAAGGAAGTGGGCCCTAGGGCTTAGGGCCGTCCGATGATAAATCTCTGGAGAAGGAAAAGTAGGAGCGGTGTAGGCTGTGTGTGTGTGTGTGTGTGTGCATGCGAGGTGTAATTAGATGCATTCATTCCTCTCATACAATAGCGAGCAAAATGTGATAAGAAGACAAATTGCAGTTACATTTTATATTTTGTATTCCTCACTCGTGTCTCTCTATTCCTTGCCATAAATAAATCTATACCTAACTGTTCTTTGTGAACTGAAAACAACAAGAGCTACCCAAACACTTCCAACTACACCAACAGAAAACTCAACAACAAGTTGGATCGTTTGCATTGCCAAACTCTTAAGATCTTAATGTATATTATCCATATCCAGTATCCATATCCATTCATATGTATCTATGTGTGATATGTATATCTGTGCGTTCTCTCTATTGGTGTGGTGTGTGGGTGTGTGCGTGCAAGTGTTGATAACATTGCCCCAAGTGCTGCTGTTGCAGCCACGTGCGCTTTCATCACGTGGCACACACAAGCGGCAATTGCAAAAGCCCGGCGGCAGCGGCTGCGGCAGCAGTAACATGAAAAAACAAACAACAACAAAAAAAAACAGGTGTGGGTAGGGGCGAATGTGTGTGTTTGACGTAGAAAAGGGCTGATAAGGTGGTGCAAATGGAGGTGGAGGAATGGTGTGAAACTGATGGCAGGGGCATGGAAAACATGTGCATATATGAGAACAGAAACCGAAACAGATGTGGATAGTGTGGTAAGAGAACGAACGGAATGCATACAATCGTTTGTGGGTTGACTGGGGAATGGATTAAGAATCCCTTAAGAATGAAATGAATGAATGCCCATAGCCGATGAGGCGAGTTTTTCGAATAATTGTCTATCTCCTTATGACTAGTAAAGGTGAACTAATTAATCGGTTGGCTTAAACATTTATTATCCTGTTAGCTTTTCATAGAAGGAAGTTTACTTTGGGTTTGCCATCACTTTAGCCGTTCGCTTATGGGAAATTGTTGTGCACTGTTTGCATAGGGACAAATTGGGTTGCAGTTGAATGGGTACACTTGTTCATCTCTTCTTTGAATTCCTTTTGGCTCAATATTTATATTATAATATTTATTATTTGTTTCATATTTGATCTCTCTTTTGTGGTTGCGACCTGTCAAAATGGACACGTGTCACCCGTGCACCCATACGCCTGTACCCCAATCTTCCATCATCAAAGCGCCCACTGCCAGGGAAACCGCATAATGCGATGGGAAAGGGGGGGGGGGGGGGGGGGGGGGGGGGGGGGGGGGGGGGGTTGGGGGGCTAATCAATCATTAATAATGCATTCTACACTACTCGTCATACACAAAATGTTGTAGTGCTGTGGTTGTCGCTGTTCGCTGTGGTTTGTTGTAGCATTACTGTGTGCTCTGATGGGAAAATCGCAGTGAAATTTCCACAAAAAGAATTGTAATTAACTCATTCATCCACTCAAACACACACACGCACACGAAGGACCTCATTAAACATTTATTGTGGACTCCTTGATCGTTGACTTTGGTTTCGGTTTTCTGTTTTCTGTTTATTTCCATTTATTTGTAATTTATTTAAGTATTGGTTTGCTTTCATTTGTTTTTGTTTAATTGTTAATTCCCTGTTTGTGGCTTGTATTCCCGAAAAGTTATCTTTAAGTTAAACCACAAATAAGGATCTTTAGGATTTTTGTAGAAAGAAAAAATAATCATTACATTAGAGGATAGACTTCCCGAACACTTTCCGCTCTGTTTGCTATTTTAAAGTTATTTTGCTTTCTGTAAATGTCTTTCCCAAGTTTTCCCCCACTTCATTTCTCTGTCATTTCACACATTCGAGAGCAATCCATCAGGGTTTTGTTTGTTTTGTAATTACCTTTTGTAATATCGTATTAAATCCTTTTTCTTATGATTCTTATTTAATTTTGTTTTTTCATTTTCTCCCTATGTTTTTTGTTTGGTTTTCGGATCACATTTTTAGAGGATGAAAATTCCTCGTCCAACTCCAACAACTCCTACTCCCAACAACAACTGCAGCAGCAGCAGCAACAACTAATTGCCACATCAATAGCAGCAGGCAGAGCTGCAGCAGTGGCTGTGGCAGCGGCAGCGGCAGCAAGAGGCAGCAGCCCCGCCTCCAACACTGCAACGTCTCCCCCCAAATCTCCCACCTCCAACGCCACTTCAGCCGCCGCTGCCGCCGCCTCCGTTACTTCTTTCATACTGCGGGCGAATGCCAATGGTAGTGCCCCAACCTTCATCCATCAGGCTGCCAAGCACAAGCTGAGCAACGGCAACGGCAACGGCAATGGCAATGGCAATTCGAATGGTAGCAGTGGCAGTGGCAGTGCCAGTGGCAGTGCCAGTAGTGGTGGATCAGAGATTCCGCGCAAATATCTGCTGGTGTCGGATGGCAAGGGCACCGTTTACCCGGCACCAGACAGCGGCTCCAACTCCACCTCCGCAGCGCCAGGAGCAGGAGCCTCCTCGGCTTCTGCCTCGGCCTTTCCGTTGGGTGCCAGCCATGGGGTAGGCAGTGCCGGGCGCCTGTCTGATTTGCAAAATGCCATTTGGCAGGAGAGTCAGCGGCACCATCCGCACCACCATCACCAGCAGCAGCAGCAAAAGCAGGTCCTGGGGAAGTCAGGGATACCACTCACCCCGCCACCGATGTCCACACGCAAAGTGGCCGACCCGAATGCCCGTATACGTTCGTACTCACTCTCCTCCCATAAATTTCCAGCGCCCGCTCAGGGCGACAGCCACCAGCAGCAGCACCATCACCCACTTGGCTACATGAACGGCGGACGGGTGGTGGGTGGAGCGGCGGGCGCAAGCAGCTCCTACCGCCAGTTAATCAATGTTCAGGCAGCAGCGAGTGCGGCAGCAGCAGCCGCCGCAGCAGCGTCAATGGCCAGCAGCTCCTCTGTATCGACATCGGCGCCAGCGGTGGGATCTCAACTAAGCCACGGCGGCCGCAGGCGCACGACTAGCTCCAACAGCAACGGGTGAGTGCATGCCCCATAAGAGATTTCTAACCGATTACTAATGAATTTGGCAATCCTTGAGTAGAGCTGGCAATCGGGAAGTGCACAACAAGCTAGAGAAGAATCGTCGGGCACAGCTGAAGGAGTGCTACGATCAGCTGAAAAGGGAACTACCCATGGGTGACGAGGATCGCAAGAAGACCTCCAATTTGATAATACTCGATACAGCCCATAAATATGTCAAGGTGAGTGGCACAACACATCACATCACATCCACTTAATGATTGAATTGATTTAACAATCTCTTTTGGTTTTGCATCTATTAGGAATTGACCAAGCGTGGTCGCGAACAGGAGGCGGAGGTGGAGCGTCTGGCCAAGCAGAAGATTGAGCTGCAGAAGCGATTGAATAGTTTGAGAAGGGACACGGACCAGCAGAGCATTCCACTGAATGAAAAAGGTACACGAATTGCAAGCAAATCCAATTCGAAATCTGATTTGCATTGCATATTGCGAGATGTAGATCAAAGTTAGCATATGCTTGGAGGTTCTTTAGACCTTCAACGTGTTGTGCAATCATCTCACGCTCTCTCTCTATCTCTCTCTCTATTTGTTTCTGTCTCTTTTAGCCGTTTGCCTGGCGGCCGGTTCATCAGCATCCGCTACATCCAGTGGACGCAGCGGAACAACAATACTGTTTGATGCCACAACAGCCTCTGTCTGTGCAACTGGGGTAAAAACATGCCGCCGCCCCCTAAAGGCGATCGAGAATCTATATCTCTGTCTCTCTTTCTTTAATGCAACATGCAACATTAGCTAACAACTGTGATAAGCAAAACGAATGCAACAACAACAGCAGCAACCGCCGCAGCAGCAGCAACAGCAGGAGCTGCAGTAGGAGCTGGAACAGGAGCAGGAGCAGGAGCAGGAGCAGGAACCATCTCCAAGCAAATCTCCTCTTCCAGCGTTAAAGCTGTGGCTGTCGCACCTTCTGGCAATCACTTGATCCCCGGTAATGGAAATGGGAATGGAACCGCAACCGCAACCGCAACCGGAACCGGAACAGCCATCATGACAATTAAGAACGGCAGCATTTTGGCCATCTCACCTACGGCCATTCTGCAGCAGCATCATCACTCCCAGCACAGCAGTCCGGCGGGCAGTCCCACGAGTGTGACAATGGGTGCAACCACAACTCGTGGATCGCCCACACCATCGACACCGTCGCCATCGCCCAGCTCCTCATCGAGCGGCGTCTCGTCGTCGGCCTCTTTCATGAGCTCCTCATCATCATCGTCATCCTCCTCCTCATCTTCGTCGTCGTCGTCCAGCTCATCGTCAAGCTCCTCTTCGTCGCCCACACAGACGACGACTGCGCATCTATTGGGATCGCGCAGCGTTGGCCTAAAGTACCATGGGGCCGCAGGCGGCCCTGGTACCGCACTGAATGGAGGCGCCACCATAGTGGCCACCGCAGTGCCATCAGCTGCGGGATCAGCGAATGGTAAGTGAATCTGTGAAACGTTTAATGTTATCTAATATTTATTTGTCCTTTGCTAATTTCCATCAGGTTTCCATCAGGCGGAAAAGGATCGTAGTTACAATTTCTTGACGCTCAGTGCTGGCACAACGGCGCAGTAATTTGTGGAGGAAGAAGCAACAGCCAACAAACCAACAATTACAACAACTATAACAATAAAAACAACAACAACAGCAACAACAACTGAATTGTGTGCAACAGCTCCCACCTTATAAAAAAAAGTAAAAGCACCTACAACAACAATGAGAACATACGATGAAACCAATGAAAGAGCAAATGATGATTGTTCTTCAAGAATCTTCTACATTTCTTTCTCAACAACAGCAACACCACTTGGCACACACAAACACACACACGTATAAAATTTCAACAACAGCAAACAATTACATTTGTTGTAACAACAACAACAAACAGTTCCGCCCAACATTTAGCATCGATTTTGAAAATCATTGAGTAAAAGAGAACAAAGAAATATGGAGGGAGATAGAGCAAAGTTATTTTTTAATAGATGATTTTACACAAAAACAAGCGGCAGTAGAACGAACACAGTGGGAAAATAGACACACACACACACACACACACTCAAGCAAACAACATGTGCAACAATAATCAAAAAGGCGGCACAACATGTGCAACAATAATCAACAACAACCAGACCAAACATATGAAGCAATCACAGCAGATCAACAATAAAAAGTTACACCAACATCAAGAGCAACAACAAAAATCAACAACAACAGAAGCAAGAATAAAAAACACCAGCAAAATGATTACCAACTAAATATAGAAGCAGTAATAGAAAGCATTAGCCAAGAGCTAACAGAAAAAAAACACGAACAACAATCAACAGCAGCAGCAACTTTACCAGCTACAACTTTTACACCAGCGGCAACATTATCATCAACAATTTCAACAACAGCAATAACATCAGATACTTTAACAACATGAAACCTAACAACAGGCAGCATTTCAACTCACACACACACACACACATACACACACACACACACACACACACACACACACACACACACACACACAAAAAATATGCAAAAAAGAGCAACATCATTTATATAATTGTATACATACATATTTAAATAAATAATTAAATCTAATGTACTACTTTATAGCCTAGTAAAGATCTAGATCTATCTGAACAAAAACACCAACCAACAACAACTAAGAGTAGCACATTTAATTGTAAACGAAAAGGTATAAGAAATTATAAACCAAATGCGCTGTTGTAACAGAAACCACCAATGGGTAACGCTTTATAAATATACACATACACTTATATATATTGTATATTATATATGTATATGTATACCTACAACTAAAGAGGAAAGAAGGGCGATAAATCACACAAACAAATATTATTACTTATAGTGATTAAAATATAAACGAAAACAAGTTTCCAAAAGATGCAACATATAACGGTAAGGTACATACATAGATCTATATACTATCTAGAGAAAAACAAAAGGAAAATCATTTTGTAGTCTCTACTTTTGACCAAACATCTAGAAAAATGTACGCGTACTTTTGTATCGCCTAAAAAGGATTACTTTTTTTGCTACCGCAAAATGGCATTCAACTATTGTGTGAGAATTCTGTATATTTCAAACATTTGTTTTCTTCTCCTTCTTGAGTGTCTAGAAACAAAGCAAAAATCAAATCAATAGAATTACAACAAAGTAGAGAGAGAGAGAGAGTATTTTGTGTGTATGTTATATCTGCGTGTGCAAATACATTTAACCATAGAATTTATTGCATAGCCAGCCCCCCTCCGCCCCATATATGTGTGTACGTGTGTAGAAAAATCCATAACGAAAGATGTGTGTGTGTGTGTGTGTGTGTTTAGACCCATTTGAATTAAATATTAGAGCATCGTAGCAGGTGAAATCAAGGTGAGACAAACACTGACATCGTCGTAGACATTGTGTGTAGCTAAATGTGTAATAGTGCAATAAGCTAAGGACCCTCCACTCCAATAAGTATATATCAAATCCCATATATTTATCCATCCCCATCCCAATTTCAATCCAAAGTTTAATATACTATATATTTTGTACAATTTTCCGTTTGTTTTCTACACGATTTTCGAAAGACGAATGCACATGAGAAGACATAGAAGACATACAAAATGTAAGCACAGTGTATGTGCGTCGTCGAATCACAAGTCGAAAATAGTAACGAACATTTTACGGTAGTAAAAATTAAAACAAATAATGCCACCATACCCACAACAAAAATTTGATACAGAAAAAAAAAACAGTTTTAAAAGCTTATAAAAAATATTTATAAAAACAAAAAAATTATAAAAAAACAAAATAGAAAATAGGCAACAACAAAAAACAATTATTGATTTAAGCAAAACAAACAAAAAATGCCCTAGACAAAAATATTTAAAACTATAAACAAACAGAAAAACCAACAACTAAATGTTATATTTTGGAGCATTTTTTTCAACGTGTATGTGTTAGAACATACATATATGTATGTATGTATACCTAGATACAAGGACAAAACAGATGGAGGGCGAATTGATAAAAGTATTAGCAAAAGATATGTCCTGGAACAATAACGAAGAGAGAGACAGCCACCAAAAGAAGGGGAGAGGGAACTCCTCCCGAATTTGATGTTTTTTGTATGTATCGGCAATGAATATGTAACTTTATATCATCTATACATATATATATATATATATATGTATGTATTTATGTATGGATATACACGAACTAGAGGGGGAAAAAGAGATATGGAAAGTAGCTACGAGAGCGAGAAGCAAAAGTTTTTCAACATTTTGTAAATACCATTTGAAATACACAAAAAGTCAGATGTTTCTTTTTCAACTAACAATAAAAATAAAAAACAAAACGTGGGCAAAGAGTAACGAAAATATATTTCATTTTTTAGACAGACGAATAAGAAAAGAAAAATAAAAAATATTTTCACACAAGAATGAGTTTTTACTTGCAATGCAAAAAAAAAAAAAAACACAAAAACAAACCATAAAAGCTTAAAAACCCGAAATCTTACAAACGTATGGAATATTGAAAAAATATAAATGTATATGTATGTGTATGGAGTGTCTGTGTAAATGTTTTTGAATGTTAATTGTAAAATGTTTTAGTTATTTTGTAAGCTGAAAGAGGAACTGCGCCCCTGGATATAGTTCTACGATATACAATATATAAGCTCCTGTTTAATTGATTTCTGTTACTAATCATAAATGCAAATGTATAAAGAATAATAAAAAATATAATTTTCACCTTTTGAGGAATTAACCCTAAACCATAATTAGTTGTTTAGTTTTCTTTTTTAATTTATAGACTTTTTCATTCAAAAATGGGAAATTAGTTTTTGAAAATGGTTTTTTTTAAATATTTTTGTTAAGTATTATTTTTTAAGTAGCCAAGTAATAATTAAACCCAATAATATTTTGTGTAATTCGTACTAACTAAAAAGCTATACAAAAATACAAAAAACAGAACAGCAACAAAACGATTTCATTATAGAATCTTTAAGCCTAACTTAATTAACTATTAATTTCTTTAAAAATGGTTTCTTTAAGTTGAAAATCATCGGGAGTATTGCAAACTTATAATCCATAAACAAACAAACAAGAAAAAACACCAACAAAAGAGACAAAACAACAAAAACAAGAAAAAAATTATAAACTATTTAAAACAAAACAAAACCAGAAGTAAACGAGAGAAAACCTTTTTAGCTGTAAATGTAACTTGTAAAATTATTTTTAAACAAACTGCATAAAAAAACAAAAGCAAAATTAAATAAGTCATGAATCAACTGCAATGGATATAAAAAAGTATAAATGAAGAATGGATATATATATATATATTATATATAAATGTAAATGTGTAAAGAAAACAGAAAATGCGAAAAAAATAAAATTAAAAACAAACAGATTTCACAGCAAAAACATGGAACAAGTGTTTTACAAATTGGGGAGGATATCCACCACATGGACGGTCGAGAAATGAGATGGAAAAAAGTGTAGTAATGCTGGCGCATTATTATTATGCATCGAAATTTGTATACAATGGAAGCCCAAGGAATTTGAGTACACCACTAAGAAGAGCTCCATGACACAACATCTTAAAAAGAAAAGTGGAGGGACGTGTGAGACGTTTTGTACACGTCACAGCTTTTATACCCGGTACTCAGTCAGCATATCTGTATATCTTAGTGGGTTTTTTATAGCCAACTATGTACTCTCTACAACAATTATGTACTTACAGATATATTTAGAGAGTATTATTCGGTATTTTCCACCAGAGACGAAGTTCAATTTAAAATGTAGCTGATGCTGATATTCCTGTTAAATGTGGTGTGACCTTAATGCTATGGCACGTCCTTAATTCGTCTAATATCTACGTATCCCGTATATTTGTTTCCATTGTGAACTGACTCACTTTTTCAGCCCCTGCAGTATAGATTGATTAATTGAAAGTAAAACTAAGTTTTGATTGTTTTTGTTGTTGTTTGGTTTTATTTCTCATATTTTTCGGTTTATTTCTGAGTCAAGCTAAACGTACGCTCCTGCAATCGCAATTTTTAACTCTCGTAATAATAATTTATGTATATATAATATTCATATAAAAAAAATGCGTTTTCTTGCTGAATTTTATTTTGGATATACATATGTATATTTGTATGTATTCGTGTATGCGTGTGAGCGAGTGTTTGTTTGTGAATGAAAAAGAGTGAAATGTTCGTTTACGTCCGTGTTTGTGGGATTAGCAACTAATTTTCACAAAGTTGACAAAAAGAATAAAAGTGTCGATGTAGGTGTAGAGGTGGGGGAGAGAGAGATAGAGGAAGGGAAATGCTTGATACAAAAGTTGAACCATCCATCAATTGATTGCATACATAACTTATATATTTAATAATAGTAATTATCATAATAATAATAGCTTAAACATTACAATACAGAATGCAGTTTTACAAAAGTAAACAAGCAAATCAATTGGGAGAAATTGCCATATTTATATAGTTATAATATATATATGTATGTATATATATTGGATGTATATCAGCGTTACAATACAAAAGATGAAAAGAAACAAAACACTGTTCAAGGAAAATCTCTCAAGCTTGTCAAAAACGAATTGTTCTCTACTTTTCTCTGGGGGTTTTGCATTTGCTTTTTGTTTTTATGTATATCTATTTATATTTGTTGTTTGCCTTCCGTTTAGAAAATTACAAAAATTGCCTTAAAAATTTGTTTTGTTTCATTTCATTTTAATATTTAATAAAGGGAACGTTTCCGTTTCTATTTTTTGTTTTAGCAATTTAGGAGTTCCTTCATTTAGGTTTAGGTTTTTTTTTGTTGTTTAAACTATTATTTTTGTTGTATATTTAAATGTATATATATATATATAGAAGTATTCATAAAAAGCTTTTCTGTAAGGTTTCTTGTTTGTTTTGTGTGTGTGTTTGCATTTAGCTATTTAAATTAAAAATGATTACAAAAAAAAAGATTTATATAGTTTTTAATGAATTGCATTAATTGGTTTTTAGGTTTCTAAGATTGATTACATTTAATAAGTTTACGCTTTAGGCATGTGTTTTTTCATGTATTTGCAACAAAAGAGCAACAAAGACGAAACACAATTGTTCAATTTGACGAGAACTTAACCAAGAGTTAAGTGACAAAGTTGTCGTGACGGCTGGATGCTGGGAAAATTATTAACCTTTTTCTTTTGCCTACAAAATATATTGTTTATGTATATTACAATGCAGTTTGTTGCTTTGATTAAGCTTTTTGCGTGTTTTCGTTTGGTGCGGAAAATTATTTT